ATCAATAAAATAATATTTTCCATCACATCAATAACTTTTCCTTCATTTTCAACCACAAAAAAAGTGTGATTTGACACAAAGAATGCATTTTTTTCTAGAATAATGGTTACCAAACGGTGCCTAAATGACACATATGATGGTGTTATAGAACCACAAGTGCTAGATTGCATTATTCTATAAATAGCATTTTCTAGACATAAATGGAAAGCACTTTGTTTTCAAAAATTTTGATTTAGAAATGAATTATAGACGTTTAACAAATAATGGTGATAAAATGTTTATTGACCCAGCTAACATTTAATAAAAGTTTGAGATTTAAGCTTACTAGCATTAACAAGACATACTATCTTGATTATATAACCTAAAAATAATACTCATGATTTAAAATTTGAGCAAGTAATCTCGCATACTTTAGGTTGCAAATATATAATATCATATAATCATCCAGTGGATGCAGTATCATTTAATAAACATATATCTAAATTGTTAACATGAATGGTGGTGATGCCCCATATATCATTCTAATTAATTTTCAAGATTACAAGGATCCAATCCTAACTTAAGTTAGTGATAACCAACGACCATTTGTAACATAGAGAACAAGCATCATATAATAATTTGTTAGATTGAAGAATTGTTTTTGGTTATTCAATTATATTTATCTGAATTCTAAATTTCTCATTCATTATTGAGTAATGGTCCAATCGGTGATGCCAAGTGTCTAGTTGTTTCAGATCTCAAACAATGTGGCCAATGGAGTGACAAACAAAGATTCACATATGTGATTCCATACTTTTAAAAAAACATGATTAAGGGTATAATTGTTTCAAGTTTTTTAGTAGATTTAGCAACCTAGCAAATCGAGTGGTAAAAAATGATTCATCTAATCGATCTCAAATTTATTAGAGACCGAGACAAATTGTTAGTTATTTTTTGTGGAACTTTAAATGCATAGCAACAACTATGTAACTAGACATTAAATTTCAACACGTTGCTACTGCATTCTGACTGAGAGAGAGTATCTATAACATACTTGATATGCACTACTCGAAAAGGTTAGACACACAATTAAACATGTTACTATATTGAACATTTTAATGGTAAAAATTATAATGAAAAGAGTGATACTATCAAAAGTGAAAAACAATGTTAGTATATTGAACATTTTAATTTAAATTCAATATCAAAAAAATAATTTAGTATTTTATAGTTATTTAACAAGCAAAAAAAATAAATTATTCTAACATACATTTTCAAAAAATTACAACATATCATTATTCTTTAATATAGTTGCACGACTAATGATAGATCCATTCAAAATTTTGTTATAACTGTAATGTGACTCTTAGGGTCCATCTGATTGGCAAAGGTGGAAAAGTTTTTCAATTTCATATAAGTTGAAAAATAAAAAGCTCAAATACCCCCATAGGTTTTCATTTTCCATGAAATTAGCAAAAAACAAGCTTAAAATGGTTGTATCTTGAAAATCGAGCTCAATTTCCACTTTCGCATCAAACAGCCAAAGTATAAATTGAATTTCTCGAATATGACATTTTCCATGGAATTTAGACCAATCGAATAGATCCTAACATGATAAACTTTACTAAGAGCAAAACTATTGAGGCAAAATCATTAAGGCAACGTTCTAACCATTTTAGCCTAGAGATGGTAAAAAAATCCACCCCTTCCCGAACCCACCCTGTGAAGAATAAAAAAAAATTGTTATGAACATTTCTTGTTTCGAGTGCTTGCTTTGGATAATGATGTAGTTAGTTTGAGTATTATTTGCTTTGGATTTTAAAATTTTGAATTTGCATTTTAAGAAAAATAGGAGAAAAATGTTGTTGCTTGTCAGAACGTTATCCGTGGAATGATGGATGCCAATTACTTTTTTTGGAATCTATTTCCCTCATTTAAATAAAAAAGGGGGAGGGGGAAGGGGCAGGGGCAGGGGCAGGCCCACGCCCTGAACCCACCCGTTTGCCACCTCTATTTTAGCCCATTT